ATCGAACCCATGTTGACCATGTGCTAGGCAAACGCCCTACCTACCGTGCTATCGCTCCAGCCCTGGCATTCTCATTTTTAAGTGCAAATCAACTTCAGTAAAATTGCATGTGCCTCCACCCCCCCCCCCCCGCCCCACATACACACACATACATTGATTAAGTGTGAACAACTGAAACTAGGAAGCATCGATTTAGGCCAAAGATCAGAAAACACTTTCTTCAATAACTGGATAGTATCTATTTGAGGCTATTGGCAATTGTTGTACTTATTCACCTCTGCTGCCACTTTTTGCCCTTTGGTTCACAAGTAGAATGACAAGTAGATGAGTGAGCCCCTTCCCCATCTCAATCTTTGTAATCCAGTGTTTTTATACTCAGGGTCTCCAGGTTGGCCTCCTGCCTCAGGGAGTACTCAGATGTACTCTGGTTCTAATGACCATAAACTTTTATAAAGTAATAGTACTATGTTGTTGGGCTGGAGCAATAGCACAGAGGGTAGGGTGTTTGCCTTACAAGTGGCCAACATGGCCAACCCAAGTTCGATTCCTCCGCCCCTCTCAGAGAGCCCGGCAAGCTAACGAGAGTATCTTGCCCGCACAGTAAAGCCTGGCAAGCTCCCCGTGGTGTATTCTATATGCCAAATACAGTAACAATTGTCACAATGGAAACGATACTGGGCCCGCTCGAGCAAATCAATGAACAACGGGAGGACAGTGACAGTGACTATGTTGTTCACATGATCTGTCCTCCAGCTTATGTGTTTCCAGCAGGTCGAGTTTGTTTTAATCAAAGTATGCACTATCACGAGCATCCCAATTCAGTCTGGAGATGTGATACAACCTACTGAAACAGAGCAGGTTTAAATGCCACATCCTTCCTTGGCTTTCTGGGTTTTCATGACCCTATTAACTTCCCTCAGAGGACCTTAATTTCTACTTAAAATATGAAGATAATGTGTCACCTGCAGGATGACATGCACAGCCTGTAGGGCTGTCACAGAGAAGCACAGGAGATTTGGGATGAGGGTTCTCGACGAGAAAGCATCATGTTATTGGGTTTCTCTCCCTCTTTGCTTTTCTGCATCAGTTCTTCTGCCCTTTCTGTAATTGATAAATGGGCCAACCCTGTGGCTGCCACCCACAGGCAGTCGTACACCACAAGATACCTCCCTGAACATTAAAAAAGTCTTAACCATTAATACTCTTTGAATATGATGAGTTCACCACTTACAGCTGCATCCACACCAGCCATTCCATCCCGGATTTAATTAATTCATCAAACATAATTGCTTTGTGTCAAAGACATCTACTATTCACACAACTAAGACATGGTCCTGTCCTCCGGGTTAGGCACCTTGGTAGGTTAGCTTGGTTGGGGAGGGGAAGGCCACAGGCAATTTTCACAGCTCTCAAATCTCCCAAGAACAGAGGAAGAGTGTTGCCTAAGTTAAGTATTAGAATACAAATGGAAAGGAACAAGGTGAAGATGGGATGGGACCATGTTTGAGGCTGAGAATATACAGAACCTGGGTACAAGTAACCAATGGGCAAATTATATGGGGACAAAAGTGAAGAACGGGAACGAGGCAGGATGAATAATATGAGATGAATTGTACATTCATCTTAAAACATATTTTGTCACACTGGGTTTAAAGTGCTGCTTCCAGGGAATTGCTTTTACTTTTCTTTAGCTGTGAGGCCTTTTATCTAGAGCAAATCCTTTATGCGATCAGTTCATTGTACAAAACCAACTTGGTCAGGTGTTCCCCTTCCTGCGGATAGCCACCTATGGTGGAGGCCAAAGGTAATAAAGTGCTACATTTAAGTTGACTTAGCTCTTTGCCTTGAATAGTGTAATGCCCCCTAATGTGTTAACTGGATTTGCCATTTCTGTCATTCTGAGAACACTAACTGGGCAGGCTTGCAGAATTCTAGTGGGTGAAATTCAGAAATGTGAATCTTGGAAAGAGAATGGACTAAAACTTTGAAGCTACTTAGAAGTTATTTCTGTAAATAATGAGTGAGTGCCAGCTTCCCTTAATGGCCTGATTTAGGTAATGTTGTCCCAAGGAACTGAAGTGCAGAGGAGGTATGTAATTTTCCCAGGGTCAAGAGAGATCATTGTTAAACTTGACCAGGCTCTATCTTAACACCTCAAACTGATCACCTTTCCCATCTCCCTTCTCAGCCAACTCTTCCTTCATTGCCCTTCCTGGCTCTTTTAGCTTCCCAGAGTAGCTTACCAGGGTATTGGTTTTTTCTCTCTCATCACCAGTTCTGATACATGCTGTCAGTGGCACTTATCAACAGAGTATTTTTAAACGCTTCTGTGTATTCCCCTAATTTCCCGAGAAAAGACCTTCTTCCTCTTTATGAGACACTAAACATTTTGTCACATACTGCAGTCTCACTGAAGGCTGACAGATGACCTGACTGACTGGGTGAGGTCCCCCTGCTCCTAGAGTGCCATCAGTCGTAGTCACCGCATGTCTCGTCCCTGGTTTATGAAGCTAAGACAGCCCATCCCTGCCCCAGTGACTGGAGGTTCCTCCTTCTAGACCCTTCTATTCAAGATCTTACATTCCCCAGAGATCTTTGAGGGATAAGAAACCATAGTTTTTCTAGTCTAGACTCCCGAGTTTTCTTTTCTTGGCATAGTTTTACTTTCTCCACCCTCTTGAGGCAATGTGGAACCTTCCACCTGAAGAAATTCCTCTGTTTTTTTGTTTTCAAACTATAGCACTGTAGCACTGTCCTCTCATTGTTCATCGATTTGCTCGAGCAGGCACTAGTAACGTCTCCATTGTGAGACTTGTTACTATTTTTGGCATATGAAATATGCAACGGGGAGTTTACCAGGCTCTGCTGTGTGGGTGAGATACTCTTGGTAGCTTGCGGGCTCTCCAAGAGGGGCGGAGGAATCGAACCCGGGTTGACCGCATGCAAAGCAAACGCCCTACCCACTGTGCTATTAATCTTCAGAAGGATTTTCTCACCAGACAGGAATCCTATTGATGCTTTACATTCTACACCCTTGACGGTGGCATCCTGACACTACCACTTTGGACACCATTGTTCATTCACCTCTCTGTGGAGAGAAAAGTGAGAGTAGAGGTGGGGTGAGAGAGCCAGCTTGATATTACTCTCCCGTCTCTTTATTCCTACTTCCCTAGTCCCTATGTTGAAATACCAGACATTATTGGGTAGAGTACATACCCTCGCCTCATGAAAGAGGTACCTGAAGGTGGTCGGGGGAGGGGAACAGCAAGGGAAGAGGGCGTGATTACTCCCCGGAGGTCTCCCTTCAGTTCCCTGTTCTGTCCTTCACTAAAAGGGCATCTGTTATGCTGTACCTCCTGCTTACGGGAGACATGGACCCCTTAAAGTGTTAAGATCTAATAAGACACTGAACTTTTGTGAAAATGAGATTTCATCTTGCTTAGCAACGGAAGGTTTCTTTTTCTAAGCCGATTTAGCTCATCGCCTTGAACATCATAGCTCATAACGCGTTAACTAGATTTCCCATTTGTGTCACTGAAGAGTTATGTGGAAAAAATACAGAGAAAAAAAGCAGCCCTTTGGAAACAATGGGAGGAAGAAAGTTAATTGAATTTAAATTAGACATAGCAATCACTGGGAGCATAATTGAAAGTTTCAAAGGAGACCATCAGGCATTCGTGTCATGGGTAAGATTTTTCTTCTGGATAAAGTATTCTGATGTAAAATGTGTTGATATATAGTATCTAACCTCACACTCCATTTTCTTATAAATGTCAAGCACTTTGGGGTAAAATGCACTGAGTTTCTCCTATCTAGAAATTTCTTAAATGAAAGATATAAATTCTACTTTGTTATTCTGAAAAGAATGATAAAATTTAACTGTGTTTCTGGCTCCATTATTCTTCTGAAATCCACTTAAAAACTTGTCATAAAAAAGATTCTAAATGGCCCTAGGAGCCTAGGATAGACTCCATTAAGAAAAGAACTACTTTATTTTCTTTATTTTTGATGAGACACATTTCCTAACTTTCTTGTAATGAACTTACATAGCTTTTGTTATCAAGTAAAGAGTTTTTAATTTAAAAAATATCTTTTCTCTGAGCTGGCTCAACTTAAGAGTGAACCCAAGAATATGATCAGCAATGCTTGTAAAATTGGCCTGCATGAAGCAGACTGACATTCTCAGAGGTTCCTGAGGGTCTGATGCTATGCCTGAGAGAAATCATCATTTAATCCCACTTTGCCCCAGACACCCTGATGTTGCGTTCAGGCCTGCCTGAGATTCCAACCTCATGGTCTATGTCTCATATCCATACCTGGCAGTTTCACACCATCTCTCCCACTCTCAGTCCCTGCAGTTGTACTGGAGAGCTTTGAAAACCAGAACCTCCCATAACGCCTCCTCCCTGCATTTCTAGCTTCACCATCAAATTAGTACTCTGACTTCCAATAAGATGTGCATTGCAAAGGAAACTTCTGTTGAAGTCACCTGGAGATAATGGCCTTAACCAGAAATATTTGTGAATTACTTTTGTGTGGTGTGTGTTGTTGTTGTTGTTGTTGTTACTTTGGGGCCATACCTCGAAGTGCTCAGGGCTTATTTCTGGCTCAGGTATCACTTCTGGGAACTCCTGAGTACTTAGGGTGGTACCAGGGGTAGGACTGGGCTTAGCCGGGTACAGTGAAAGCTATATCTCCAGTCACTTTCACTTTTCAAAAAACTGTTGTAGTGAATACATGAGTCTACCACATGCCATCATAACTCTTCAAGCGTAGAGTTCAATGGTGTTCAGTGGCATTGTCACCTGCTGCCAAGGGGATTAGGGTTCTCATTTCCGCCAGCTAGCTCTGCTGTCCAGACATATTTGTCTATAAGATGAGAAAGGGGGCTTGGATTCCCCAGTAGCCCCTGCATCTCTTGGGACTGACAGCATTTTTAAAAACAGGTTCCAGTGCCATTCTCCTGCATCAGCGTCCTCTTTTCTCCTTCTCTCTTACAGCTCTGAGCAGCGGGTCCCAATTACCCCTTCCTACCACAGCTCTGCTTTGCACTCGGGTGATGGGGTCACAAAAGCAGGACCTCTGGGCCTTCCGGAAATAAGACAAGTGCCAACTGTTGTGATTGAATGTGATGACAATAAAGAAAACGTGCCTCATGAGTCCGACTACGAAGACTCTTCTTGCCTCTACACAAGAGCAGAGGAAGAGGAGGAGGAAGAGGATGAGGACGACGACAGCAACTTGTATACCAGTGCGTGTCTGCATGTGTGTGAGTGTGTGTGTGCGTGTGTGTGTGTGTGTGTGTGTGTGCGCGCGCATGCTTGCCTTTGTGAATTTGTTCTCCACCCCAGCAAGAGGGCTTCAACCCTCAGGATTCTAGTCCTGGGTCAGGTTACAGGTCAGAGGACAGCTGTGGGCCAAAGGCCAGTTGTGGGTTTGAGGGGGCCATTTAATTAGCCTGAAGGGGCCCTAATTTCTTCACTCATCACATCCAAGGGCAAATGTACTCAGTCATTGTGCTAAAAACCATAATACTTCTTAGATGGGTCTCTCTTTGATTGCTTCCTTTGGGGTGCAACCTTCACCCTTTAAAATAAGGAACCCCCCCAAACTGCTAGTCAATTAAAAAATTCTCTGAAACTAAACATGAACATGCAATAAGGTTTTGAGGCCGCATCCAGTGGTGCTCCAGAGCTCAAACCCAGAGATCCGGCATATAAAGTATGCCTGCACCCCAGCCCACTTCCCCAACCCCAAGTCACTTAAAAGCATACCTCAAAAATACCTTGAGTCACAAAGTGGTGTGCAGGGCTTGTGCCTGCATCCCAAGTCTGGCTTCTGATGGCAAGCTCTCCATAATAAAATCCCAAGAACTTTAAAAAATAAAAGACTATACTTCTCCCATCTCTCCCTCTCCGTAACACTCACCAGGCGTCAGCAATTTGGTGAAATCTGAGAACTGGCAGTAAAATAAGAATTAAAAAGTATTGAGGAGACAATCCTAGAGGGGGCAACCCAGGTGCACCTGGTCCCTGAGTAGAGGGGGCAGTGGCTTGGCCACCCTTCTCCTCTCTTGCCCAGATTGCTGAATGTCCCATACAGTTGTCTCAGCCGCTGCACAAACAACACTGTGGCTAGAACCTTCTTTGTGGTGGGGGTATCCAGTACATGGTAGGATATTGATGGTGTCCCTGGTCTCTCCCCACGTAATTCCTGACCAACTTCCCCCCACACACTACCACCCCAAAAAATAAGTTGTGTTTTTTTTATTGAATTATCATGCGATACACAGTTACAAAGTTGTTTATGATTGGGTTTTATCATACAATATTCCAACACCCTTCCCTTCATCAGTGTACATCTCCCACCACCAATGTCCCCAGTTTCCCTCCTGCCATCCCCCAACTCCCCCCCCCCCAAGCTGCCTCTATGGCAGGTATTTTTTCTTTCTCTGTCTCAAAAAGAAAAAAAGAAATCAGTTTTGGCAAGCAGAAATGTCTCCCGACTACGCCAAGGTCTCCTGGGAGGCAAAATCAACCCTGATTTGTATGAAGCACTGATTAATCCCAGCTGTGAGGGAGGCTGGCCTTGGGGGAACAGACCTTTCATGCCAAAAGAGTAAAACCCATCTCAGAACATGGACATTTCTATGACCTCACTTTCACCCCCAAACAGACCCTACTTTGTCTGCCTAATTTTATTTTTGGCCCCTATGTGATGGCCTCTCTCCTCTCCATCTCTGCTCATCAGGCCAGCCCCGATGCCCCTCCACCCTCCCTGTCTGGGGAATGACAGCGTCCCTCTGCCACACACTCACAAACACACGTGCGCGCGCACACACACACGCACACACAACACACATGCATGCACATGCACACACACATACACACAAGCACACACACGCACACACATACACACGCATGCACACACATACACACATACACACCGCACACACGCATACACACCCAAAGACATACACACAGCGTAAGCATGCACACACACATACACACACATCACACACACACATGCACACACACATGCCCACGTGCGTGCGTGCACACACACACACACACACACACACACACACACACATACATGCACCGCACATGCTTGCCATTCTCTGTGAAGCTTTCCCCAGCCAGAAGCTGCTCTCTCCTCTTTCCTTCTCTTCACAGCTCGGGTCATGCCCTCCTTCATGCTCCTTTCCACATGCCAGGCTCCTTAGAGAGCATACAGAAGCCCAGCTCCTGTGTCCTTGCCGCCTCCTGGTGTGCTGCTAGGAACATGGAGCAGCCCGGTTGCAGGAGCTGGAAGCTTCGAGGATCTTAGCTACTCTCTGGCGTTCATGCCATTATGTCGTTCTCCCCTCCTTTCCCCTGGCAGCTCACAGTGACCCCACAGAACCCAGGCAGGTCTGTCTCTAATCTGACTCCTTCCTCCCTCCTGCAGGCTCCCTGGCCATGAAGGTGTGCAGGAAGGACTCCTTAGCCATCAAACTCAGCAACAGGCCCTCCAAGAGAGAGCTGGAAGAGAAGAACATCCTTCCCCGGCAGACAGATGAAGAGAGGCTGGAGCTGAGGCAGCAGATTGGCACCAAGCTCACCAGGTAGGACAGTAGAACCTGCAGCAATACCGATTTTAGGAGACGAACTCAGGTCCTTGTACCCTTCGGGCCTCCTCCGTCTGACTGGAGGAACTTAGTATAGGAACGTACAATATGTGAAACGTTCCATTTCTTGGAGCCGGAGAGATGGTACAATGGGTAGTGTGCTTTGCCTCGCATGTGACCAACCTGGCATCAATCCCTGGCACCCCTTAAGGTCATCCCAGCCCTGCGCATGGAACCAGAATAAGCCCTAAGCATCAACAATTGTGACTCAAACAAACAAACAAACAAACAAAAAATATTCCATTTCTTGTCCAGGCTTGCTTCTCTAGTTCTCTTTCCTCCACGTTATCAGTATCTCAGAAATCTCACTTGGTGGAAGGCATGGGGATAAGCTGAGAGGGTGGCACCTGGGAATAATGATCACCTGTAGAGACATCACCACTGCTATCCAGTAGAAGCCAGGTCCCACGTACACAGAAACTCTGGTTTGGTCCAGCCTACAGCAATCCAGTAAGCAGCAGCACCTCTGACCCCCTGCAACTAGAGGAGATGAGTGGTTATTGTGGGGCTTATCAGTAATCTATGCTTCTTCCTAGATGCTGCCCCAGATACAAAGATAGTACAGACACAGGGAGTGTGTTACTTCCATATAGTGTATACATGTAGTACCCTTGTAATCTAAAGCATATCAATTAGACCTGTTAGGACCTTTGTAAGCAATGGCATGTTGGTTTGACCCAATAGGACCCTCATAATCTAGGGCACATTGATGAAATGAGCTAATATTTGGAGAGCCCTTGTTCATTCTCAGAACTTCTGCTAGTCATTTTACATGGACTGAACCATTTCAATGTTGAGCCTCCCTCTGAGGAAAAGTCTTGGATACCCATTATACAGATGGGAACCACGGGCGACACTGGCATAACGTCACACAGAAGGAATCTGGTGATGCCTGACCACTCTGGCTCTATTTGCCATGCCCTTCAGTCTACCGCAGATCCCAGTGCATCCAGCCATGTCCCAGGACTTTCTTTTCTCCTCATTGACCAGTGTTTCTCGCTGCCTGTGTTTGTGTGTTGGTAAAATGAAGGGCAATAAGAATTATACCACAGCTGTGAAGCATTTGAAACAGCATCAGCCCCAGAGCAAACACTCAGCAATTGTTAATCTGTTTCTCAAGTGAGGGAGCTGGTGCTCATGGGGCTTCTTAAGGCATCGACTTTGTGCAGAGACATGCTGGGATCTCCCTCCCCCCTCCTGGTTTCCCTTGTTACCTCAATATTTACTTGGGCCCCCTGGGACAGTGTTGTATAATGGCTGTGGGCTGTATAGAATGTTCCATATAGAGGCATGATTTGTCCTTGGATTATATAGTCATAATTCATAGAATGAAAACATCCAACCCCCCCAGCACTGCCTACTGGCCACCCCCACCCCCACCACACACACACACACACACACACACACACACACACACACAACAGTCATTGGAGGTGGTAACTTGTCCACATTTTGTCGACTTGGTGGTTCCAATGTCTCCTACTAGCTCAGCGAGAGTTAGACCGCTTCAATTCTCACAGCATTCTGGAAAACTTGCCCCTGGTGCAGAACTTGATTGTAGAACACTCTTTCTTGGACTTAACCTGAAACTTCTGTGCACACACAGAAGTCACTTTAGAGCCTCACCCCCTAACACTCATGTCTCCATTCCTTGGAGACAGTCCTGGGTCCCCCGCTGCCTCCTCTCCCAGCCTGCCAGCACTTTCATCTCTCTGGCCATATATCTGCAGGCTTTCTAACCAGTGTACTCAATTGAGGACACAGTATAGCTAATGCTGTCTTTGCGGAGACTGGGGCGGGGGGGTGGGGGGGGGCGAGAAATGAAGGAGTAGAACCTTGACTGTGGTCCCTTGTAAAATCTTATCACGCCGAAGGTTGTGTGTTCACGGGCTCACTGGACGGCACTGTCTCACCGCCTGCGTTCGGTGCTCTTGAGCCACTGTGTGTGGCCTGGATCGGAACGGCTGTTGGCCAAGGGCAGACGGAAGAAGAAATGGGGGCCAGGCCGGTCTATATCAATAGTAGTTTATTCCAATCCTCTTCACTCCTGTCTTTCTCTGCCTCCTTCTCTCCTGGGCCCCAATCTTGGAACCTCTCTCCTTCTGGCTCTGACTCTGGATCTCTGGAGCCCGAGCTCTCTCGCTTCTGACTCCCCTTCCGAGCTTACATCTTAGTTTATATAGCAGTCACATAAGGCGGTAACATAAAGGTGGGTTGAATACTGACGAATCAACAAAGAGAGGTAAGACCACTCCTCCAGGAGATTAACTCAAGGATAAAATCTCATCTACAGAGATTACTTCAGATTACTAGGAGATCCACCCAAGGGTGGGATCCCAACAAGGGTGTGTTCTTCCCTCAGTTAGTAATCTACTTAAATAGTTGTAATAAATCTACTTCTAATATTTCTAGCAATGTCATTCTGTATGAGAACAGTAAGAGATATAAATTTAGTTTGGTTCTTCCTGAGAACATCTCACTATACATTTCGCAGTCCTCAGGCCAGGTTAATCTTTCTAGCTCCAGCAGGGTCCTAGTCTCGTCGTTACTTACTTTTGGATCATGACAGCATTTGTCCATGATCATGCCCTCAACTTATAGTTGAGTATTGTGGCTCTTTGACCTGGCCCATTTCAATGCCAGGGTAGCTCACTGCTTGCCCTGGGTCCATTCAGTCCCTCGTCGGGACCCTGCTTTTGGGGTGCTAGGAACTAAGGGCAACTGAGTCAAGAAATCAGATGCCCAGGAGTAAATATTATTCGGAGTCCATCAACTCCCAAGTTACAAAGCGTAATATTAACTGTCTTCCTGTGTCCACACAGAAAGGACATTGCTTACAATACAAGTTCAGTGTGCTTACAATACAAGTTCAGTGTTCTTAGATGGGTGTGACCTGACAAACCTAAGCTACCTGAGGAAGGACAAAAGAGTGTTATCCTACAGTCCCTCTTTTCGAAGTTCACCTCACCCACCTTTCTGCAGAAGAGGCAGCCTTTGAGAGAATTATCCTCCTACCTCCACTTTGTTAAGAGGCATGCAGGACCCCAGCGTATGTTGGGGGAGGGGGGCCCCTCTCTGCAGAGATGAGTGAGCTGCTCATTTATTCTGCTGCCTGGGCAGAATGAAGGGGAAATGTAGAGAACCATCTGAGATCAGAAATCTTGGGTTCTACTTTCACCTAGGCCGTCCTTGGCCTTCCCTGACCTTCATGTCCTGATCCACCAGGATTAGATTTGATCATCTGATTGTTGTTTGTAAATTGTGACCTCAGTTCTCTTATGAAAGTAACTAGAGAGCCGAAGCGATAGTACAGCGGGTAGGGTGTTTGCTTTGTATGCAGCCGACTCAGGTTCGATCCCCGGCATCCCATATGGTCCCCCAAGAACTGCCAAGAGTAACCCCTGAGTATTGCCAGTTGTGACCCAACAATCAAAAAAAAAGGTAACTGAAGAATACTTCTGAAGCCAGGAAGAATATTTCTGAAGCCAGGAGAGCGTGGCATACTTCGGCTATTCAGAGAGGAACGTCTTGGAATTGTAAACTCTTGGGACCACAGGCTTTGTAGAGGGAGTGTATAAAGCACAGGGCCAGGAAGACAGTCTGAGGTTAGGGTTCATGCACCATGTGGTTCAGCACCACATGGATCAGGATGTAAGGTCCCAAGCAGTGCCATATCCTTGGGCTCTAACACCAACCCGCCAGCCCAGGTGATCTTGTATTGCCAGGAGTAGCCTCTGAGCACACTTGGGTCCTATAGCATTTCAGAGGTATAAAAAAACTTTTAGTATTTCAAAGAATCATCCCACATTGGGCCGAAGGAGCAGAAAGATGAAATAAAATGCTATAAAGATTGGCAGAGTTTCTACCTAAGAATACAAAGCTACTGAGCTTGTTGAGGTACTTGGGCCAAACCCCCTCACCTACCCCCCCTTAACCACATTTATAAAGTCAGGTGGAAGTTTTGATCATCATTCACTCCCTTGGTCAACCTCTTTCGGAGAAGTGAGGGAGCCGTGGGACCTCACGGGGGTCAGCTGGGTGCCCGCTGGTTTGCTCTTCAGAGATGCAGCTGGGAGATGGGTGCAGAGAACAGGAGGGGAATGTCTCAGTGGAAGGAGATGGAAATTCTGGTAAAATGAAGCATCTGTCTGACTATGATGCTACTTGCTCCTGTGCTATCCGAGGCAGGGTTTATCTGTGCAGGAGTATGTATATGTAACTTAGAAGTGAAGAAATGGCATATTGACAATTCATGCTTAGATTTTTTTTAAAAATGGAAGTTCTAGAGAGCTGAGAGTCCTTACATCCAAGGGTCCCTGCTCAGAGCTACATGAGCAGGCCTTTCATCTCCAGAAAACTTCACCAGTAGAAATTTAAAGCCCTGGGGACAACCCCTCATATAACCCTGCAGCTGCAAGACTGCAAGGGGGACACACCTGGTGATTCTCAGGGGTTACCTCTGGTTTTGCACTCAGGAATTACTCCTGGCAGTGGTTGGGGGACCATCTGGGATGCTGGGAATTGAACCCAGGTCAGCTGCAAGCAAGGCAAACGCCCTACCCACTGTACTATTGCTCCAGCCCCATTTCATAGTAGTCTTGTAAAGAAAACTTTAGAGCTCATGCTGTGCTCAGAATGAGGATGATCCCTGGGTGTCGGGCATCATGAAGATCAGGGGAGATCAACTTTCTAACTGTCTCTACTAAAGCTTGAAGGATTGCTGAGCAAATGACTCCACCATTTGTTCAGAGCAGTTCAGTGTGGGGCTCAGAACCACTGGGGAACAGACTCTCAGGAAACAGAGAAGTAGCTGGTCCACAAAACAGTGAGGTTTTTGTTTCTAAGACCTCTCTCCTCAAATGAAGAGTTCTGTGCCTCACTAGGAACACGCATTTTGCAAAAATGGAGCTACTACTCTTGGTTTCTCAATAGACAGC